TCGCTAAGGATCTCACTGATTGGCATATCAAAGACAGCCCGATCCGACACCTAGTGAACCTAGACTTGCAAGTTCAGTACCTATGATATGAATTTAAGGTTTGCAATGCCCAATTAATTAGGGTATCATGATAATATATATTCATTGTCTTATAATCACAAAACAAGATTAGGGTGCTAGGTATATCAATAATTTACCACACATAATACACGAATATGGATGTAGGCACAAAAGACAATGGATTATGTAAATCTTGCTGATGTAGGGTAATAGAGCCTACCTGTTAGTTTCATTTATTTAATGCTTTCACAAGGTTTCTACCATGATGAAAAGAAATCTGAAGGAGGCTCCTATTGTCTAGAAGTTTGAAGAATCACCTAGTCTTGGTGTTGCCCCTCAACTAGTCTACAATTCAAATCATCATCTGTAGTAGACCTTATTTAGTAGGAGAGGAATTTTGTAATCCATGTTCTTAGGGAGAAGGTTGAAATTTCCATTAGAGTATAGGAAAGTCTATCAAAAGTTTAGAGAAATTGAATTTATCTCTATGATGTCAATCCTTTAAAAAGGATATTGGTCCCTTAATAATGATTTGATACATCTTCATCCTTGCAAAGCTAACAAAACTTCTTCATTCCTACTTTTGGGCATTGATGTTGTGCGATTTGGTAGCTTTCTAATGATAGATAACTCAAACGTTGGGCTAATGAGGTCGCCTGATGGAGCTATAATGTCACAATCGAGTCTAGGGGTCAGGTGTAACTTTCCAGTTTTGCCCATCTGTCTCCAAGGTCGAGGGCAATATTGGAAATCTGGTCCGGTTCAAGGATTCGAGTAATCCCATATTGCATGTGCCTTGGGTCTTACCTTGGTGGCCGAGACAGGCCATCCCAACACTTGGTGGCACACCAGTATCAGCCTTGGCAGGATAAATCTCCCTAGACTTATCCAATGGCTGTGAACATTYAAAACTAACACGAGYCTCWATRAGTGTCCAGTTTTAGGGTCTTACACAGAATTATACCAAACAACATGAATTAAACATGCACTTTATTTATTTACACTAAATATCAAAAGTACATCAATTCAGATTGAAGCCAAGGGCATACAAAACTGTCTAACAGCTCTCACTTGCACTTAGGTCTAATCTGGTACAAGCCGGAGTCCCATACTTTCCACGTGTTTCTCAAACACCTTCAGTGTCAGTGGCTTAGTCAATGGGTCTGCCACATTATCTGCTGATGCTACCTTCTGAATTAGGATGCCCCCTCTACCAACGATCTCCCGTAGTACGTGGTACTTCCTCTCGATGTGCTTTGACTTCAAGTGGGCCCGAGGCTCTTTAGCCTGGGCGATCGCTCCATTGTTGTCACACAACAATAGGATGGGTGATGTGCTAGATGGAATCACTCCCAATTCGTGTATGAATTTCTTCATCCACACGGCTTCCTTGGCAGCTTCACTTGTGGCAATGTACTCGGCATCGGTTGTGGAATCTGTAGTGGACCCCTGTTTGCTGCTTTTCCAGCAAACAACACACGATCCTATCGTGAAAACATATCCAGATGTAGACTTTCTATCATCTAGATCCAACTGGAAATCGGCATCAGTATACCCTAGAACTTGTAGTGAACTACCCTCGAATACCAGACAAAACTCTTGTCCTTCGAAGGTATTTGAGTATGTTCTTCACAGCAGTCCAATGCTCCTGTCCTGGGTTGGCCTGGAATCTGCTTACCACACTCACCGCCTGAGCAATGTC